ATTCTGATCTGGCACGGTCCCGATTTGTGAGCCAGAAATCTGCAAATCTGCGACTCGTCGCAAAATACGCAGATTTATAGTCTTGCAGATTACAGAGACCCCCTGATCTGATCTTCCAATCTGCACATCATCTGCGTTTTTGCGAAGAACCGCAGATTCGCAGACTTGCAGATTCGCAGATTTGCAGATTCGCAGATTCTACAGACCCTATGATCTGGCATCTATCTGATCTGCGAGCTGTGAATCTGCGAATGTGCACCCATGTACATGAGGCGTGGGGTTTCGGGGGTACCATATATATATATATATATATGCGTATGTGCGTATACATATATATATATATATATACTTGTGATCGCGTTACAATGAAAAACCTATTTTCCAGCTCGAACAAACTGGATGCTCTGAGTGTTTCGGGCTTACGGTATGTACTACGAAGCTTTCGGGCTCCCATTGCCACAAACCTGGGAGAAAGTGCCAACATTTAACCTCGGGCTGTCATTTGCTGCGGTAGATGCTGCTCCACCTGGAAAAATCTCATGATTTGTGCTGTGCCCAACCCCAAATGCCAATATAAACCAAGAACATGAACACTCTCCATGTATCCCGTATGCCTGGGTAAAGGGCTTGCCGTGAAGGTTCGTAGATGTCATGAGCAGGTGCCTCGGCAGCACAAGGGCTTGGATTAGGGTTTAAGGTTTCTGTCAACCGCAAACTTGCGAACCCTTAGCCGAAGCGCTTGTGGAGGCATTGGTTTGCGTCGAGAACTCATGAGTTGTAAATTGAAGAGAAAGACGCAAAACCCGATCCGAAGGTCAATCGCACCAAAGTCCGATGTCCGGGCAGTCCAAGAACTGTGGAAAGGATTCACCAGCTTGTCAGTCTGATTGTGTTTAATTAGGTTCTTGTGCTTGAACTCGATACTGTCACCTGAAAGAAAGACGGCTGTACTGGCATTCCAACAACTGTCTTGATTTTGTAGTTGTGCAGCGGCGTTGGGTGATTGCGTTTACTGGCCCTGAGACAGCACAATCGGAGGGCGATGAGCATGCGTGAGAGTTTGGTACAAACGCCAAGTCTGATACTTGGAAACATCAGTGCTGCACGTTGCTGCTCAACCGTACTGTAACTGCACTGTAAATTCGAGCCCTCTTCCCGTGGCTGTGCCCTTATGCCAGTTTCGATTCGAGTAGACCAGACCAACTTCCAAGGTTCCGAACTGGCTAAGCCTGTGCAATCCCCCCCCCCCTGCATGTATCTCAAAGTGGCTCACTATCGAACAGGGCGTGATCCGAAAGTCGGTTGTCGCAGCATATCATCACATGTGCGGCTCAGTATGAAGCAGAAAGCCATTGCAGCCTTTGGCCAAGCTGCTTCAAACAGTCGGAGACGCTGTGAACCCGGAGGTTGCTGTCAAGCCTTCGTCAGGTCACGACAGGAACTGAATAATGAGAAAATGTCGTAAGATAAAGTATAGCTCTATAGAATATAAGTATAGATGTAGGTATATATATATATATATAATCCCTGGCAGCCCTAGCATAAGGCATAAGCCGCAAACGACTCCGACACCTGGAGATTGGCAGCGACTGCGGCATTGCTGGTGCGACGGCAAATAGCGACCGCCACCATCGTCGCCCCGCACCGCCACCACGACATCTCTCATCAGGAACATCAACTTTCATGCATAAACCGGTCAAGTCAAGACCATGACCAATAACGTCGCAATCATAATCATTAGACACATTATCAGCATCTTAACCAACCGACCGTCATCATCACTTCCAAGATGATGTTACTGGCCGCGGTGAAAACACGATCGTCACCATTGTCACGAGGGGCGGTGATGGCGATAAGCATCACCATAAGTGCCATCGGCGTCATCGCAGCTATCACGAGATCGCAATCCTCCAGGCCGTCACCATGACAACCCTGAAAACTACCCATAGGCCCCATAGTAGTTCCTTTTGGGGGTTACCTTATAGGATTCTATATAAGAACCCCAAAAAGGAACTACTTTAGGGCCTATGGGTAGCTATCAAGAAATGACGACGTCTATGTCGTGGCCATGGATGCCGCATCGAGAATCCAACAACATGTCAGCAGAAGTAGTTTCTGCGACACATGGTTATATGTTCAAATGCCTCAAATGCCAAGGCACAGCACCTCTCCATCACAAACCCCACGCAACATTCTGCGGAAGCTTGACATCAAAGACTCTGCGTCGGAGTGGAGGAATTGGGCACAAAGGGTGGCACGAACACCTGTCTCCAGCATCCAGGACAAAACGATGGTCAGGCCCAGAGACACGAGCTGCAGAAAGATGCAAAAACCTCGGCTCCGGAGAAACAGCTTTTGCCTTGAGGGGCAGAGTGGCCTTAACCAAGCTTTCTGAACGGTGCGTGCACACGGTTTGTGTAACGAGGTCCACACCCAGGCTTGACAAATTTACGAGCTTGATTCTCTCTCGCACTCAGCAAAACCTGCGGTGTTGCAGTTCTCGCAAGTCAGCCGCCCGGATGTGGTCAGGAACCCTTTGCGAAAAGGTACAGCTTATCCTGTGCATCTGGATGCAGCTCAGGAGTGCATGCCGAAATGGGCACATATCTCAAGAGAAGCCTCAAACTACTTCAAATCATTCATGCTCGTAGAGCATTTCTGCCGGAAGCCAGCTACAGCAAAGGCGCTAGCGATAAGCAGGTGTGTGCATGTATATGCGCACTGTGCTGACATAGGCCCAAAAAACGCCGCAGTGATAATCAGGTATACATACCTACTGACCTACTGCTTACATACATACGTGCCTACATACACGCATGCATACTGGCAGTGTGCGCATGGGCAATTCTCTAAATGAGGGTCCCGATTCAACTTTTGGTTCGCAAAACATTAGCATGGTACCGTTATAAACAGGACCCCAAAAGAGACCCTAATTCTGACACTACTACACACATACAAGCTATAAACAACTGCAACCATACACAAACACGCACACACACAAACAAACGGACAGACAGACAGCATAATCTGAAAACGAATGTGGACAAGAAACCCGGATGGTTCAGGCCGCTGGGGGCCAGGAAGTCAGCCCACAGCCTAAGCTGACTCGCTTTGCGAAGAGCTCTTCAGGATGGTTCCCAGGGACTCAAATATCCCTGAATTAAGGAATATACCTTAAATCATATTAGGGGTCCTACTATAATTTAAGATATATTCCTTAATTAAGGGATATTGGAGTCTCTGGGTTTGAAGGCTTTGAACTCTAGGACTCTAGGGTTTGAGAGGGTCTGGTTGAAAGAAGCTTCATTACGCCATCGGTTGAATTTGAATGCAGGTGGTGAACGGCTTCACGGCTTTATGTTCGACCAACTACTCGGGCCATGCTTACATCAAGGAGCCAGAGAAAAACTATGACAGGCGCCACTATTCAAGCAAGCACACCCCTAAACCCTTTTTGCATCCGGGCTTGTGAAGTTGGCCGGGGAAGGTGACACCCCTAAACCCTAAACCCTAAACCTACTGACCCCGACAGTGGCAAGCAAGCAGCTGACCAGCAGTCAGCAGCACCTGCCAAGGTGCGGACCTTCCGTGGGGAGCTGAGTCGCGAGATGAGGCCCTGTACCCATAGGCCCTAAAGGGTTCATATATAGAATCCTATAAGGTAGCCCCCAAAAGGAACTACTATGGGGCCTATGGGTAGTCGGAATTTCCTACAGATGCGCAGTGCACCTCGGCTCTAGGGATCTGTGTCGGGGGATGTCGGATGTATAAGACTGGCGGCTTTGCGCTTCCGGGCCCGTCCCTGTCTGCAAGGCAACCACATGTAGGGCCCCACAAAAGCACATAAGCAAAAATTAGGATAGGGATATCCCATATAAACCCCCTTATAATGAAGCCCAACAAGGTAGGGATATCCCTATAAAATGCAGATGCTTATGTCCTTGTTGGGTTCTTAAACATAAATTGCGAATGAGGCCGCGCGACTTCACTTCACTCTACTTCGAACCCGGGCAGACAAAAAGGTGAGAGTGTTTCCAATGCAGACCTCGAGGCAGTTTGGTGTCAGTGGCGACTGCTGACAGGATAAACCGGCAGGATGTCAGCTGAACTACCATCACATTAACGTCGAGATGCAGACCCTGCGCAAAGGGTACCGCCAAAAAGCAGACCATCATGCTACAGTAGAAGAAGGAGCAACACGCTCGAACTCGCTCTGCCGTCAGATCCACGGCTCGCGTCGCGGTGGCCAGGAAGAGCATGTACATGCAGGAGACCGCGGCAAAGACGATGCCTTCCGGCAGCGTTGGATGGACGTAGAAGGTGTGAATCCAGTACGACATACCACCAGCTGTGAAAAAGGAGGCGCATCTCGAAAACATGAGCCAGTTGGCTTTTCGAGTCTCCGCGAGGGCTGTCGCCAGTCTGCCATCGCAGGGATCCGGTTGCTTCGCAGCGAATTGGTCTGCCAACCACAATGCAAACGATCGAACATCCCGTGCTGTCAGAAGCACATGCAATACCAAGAACATCACAGCACAAAGAAGACCTTGAATCGCAGCATTGGCAGGTAGGCCCCACGGAGACTCCATTGCTGCACGGCTCGGGGTCTACGAATTCCACACCCTTGCGTTAAAGGTCGATATGTGTAGCCGAATCTGGCGCGCGCGGGATGGACGTGAAACCCAAATTTCTTGGACCCCAAACCCTCAATGAACACGGACCGCTGCACACGTGGAACAGAAGGCTTCATGCCACTTAGGTGCTTGTCGTAATCTGCCCCAGCTTCTAGGGTTTCATGCGAAGCTTAAAGCTTCTGAAGCTGCCGAATTCAGAGGCTTTGGGCATCTGGGTTTGGGGCTTTGGGTTAGCAAATGAAAGATAGAAAAAGAAGCGAACTCACACTCAAACGCCAAGCCTGGAACCCAAGATTACGTAATTGATGAAAAAACTCTGATGAAGCCTTAAAGTCCCAACCCCAAGACCCAAACCGGAATCCTGACCTTTGGCGTTTGCTCCCGGAGCGCCGGCGCGGCCTCTGTTACTGCCTTGGACAGCTCAATATTCTGGGCGGTTTAAAATTTGAGGCTTTATGGGGTTTAGTTTAGGGCTTCGGGTTTTAGCGCCGTGTTTGTGATCCTAGGGTTTATGCGTTGATATTGTTGTTCATGCACAGTTTCAAAATTGCACCCAAACTGGGCTGATGAGGGCTGGATCCTTTAGTGGGCCAACGAGGAAACACGGGACGGACTCCCTCCAAGTTTCAACAAAGCCCGCACCCTACTTGCACGTGATAAGCATTTGGCACGGTGCTGCCATCAGACCTTGAAGCATGCGAATTGCCCCGTCAGCGTCATCCAAAGATGAGAACGCCCAAAACCCTAAACCCATCGTCTTTAAAGCATGCTGCAGGCGCTGCTTCGCGTGCTTGGGCGATGCCTGGCACTCGGTGAGCCCAGGCTGTGAGATTTCTTGTTGTCAAATTTGTCAACATGTCGACTCCTTGCCAGAAGATTTCAACTCCGGGCGAAGTAATTAACCAGAGCAAGCGCTTAATTCGGGGATGCTGTATTCTGTAGATCTCCACTCGGGTCACATAAGAGCCGCGTACCTTAGGTTCATGTGCAGCCAAATGTAACGCTATCCCGGAATGTCCCCGTGGCACAAGATGGCAGCTGCCTGGCGGTAGTGGCACCTTGGCTCCACAACTTCAGGAATCATGGGATGACGAGTCTACCTAGCAGCCATCGTTTCAGGAGCCCCTTAAGAAGATTGAAGTAGAACTGTTGACTAGTCGAGCATATAAACAAACTGCAAATATCTTCGAGGCTCCCTCCTCCCTATATACTATGCCGTCAAGGGTAAGGATGAGCACATTTCGTGGCTCTCCCTCAAGACAAACCATACCCCATCAGACATGGCAGGCAGCCGCAGCGGCGGCAGCGGTAGGTGCCGGTGGACGGGCGGCCACAAGGACGGGTGCCGGAGCAGCGGCTTTTACCTAAACTTAAACCCTTGGGCTTGCTGGTTAGAGTTTTTGGCTTGGTGGCTGGACAGGCTTCGAAGTTCTGTCAATGATTACACCGGCTTCGACCATGGGCGACAGTGGAGCTAACTTATTTATGTGGCCTTTAGACCAAGCCTGCCGGCAAGAACAAACGTATATAGGCCCACATACCTTCCGCCTTGCAGAACCAACCTTTCCGCAAAATTATACTGCCTCGGACATGCGGAAAACCTAAAAACTCCAGATGTTCTTACTGGTCTTTTTATGGAAGAAGCAGATTGACGCTGTTCGGATCTTGCGAGCTTTTGCTGAGACTGTCAGTGTTTTAAAATTTGCAATTGGTAGACGACTATAGTTTCCTACTGTGCAACTCTTGCAGCACTTAGGATGGGGAAGTCACGTTTTAGTACGCATCATGGAACAACATACAATCTATATGTATGTATGTATGTATGTATGTATGTATGTATGTATGTATGCATCTGATTACATGCATGCATACATACATGCATACATATATATATATATATGTACACATACATACATACATACACACATGCATGCATACATACATACATGCATGAATACATACATGCACACATACGTACATGCATACATACATACGTACGTACATAGATAACTACGTCGATGCACCATCTTTGCTTGGTACACGCATGCACAATATACTTCGCGAGCAGTGTAGATATGAAACCAAGTACGACGTGCCGAAATGTGGTTTTGCGTGGATTGCCAATGGCACGGTGCTATCTGAAAACGGAGCATACTTCAGAATACATCTCGACACCATAACCACAGATTCCAGATCTGTACAGAATATGGATATGCTGTAGCAGGTGGCAGAATCTAGCATGACACTGTATTTGATAAAATGCAGCAAAACATAGCTGGTTCTACAATCACGTATACAGCGCAAGTTGGCAGAATATAGCACTTGGTCTCCCTAGCCTAGTTAAAGCTAAACCTCATAAATACCAATATAATTATAACTATACTAGTTATACTTATATAGGCGGCCCGGAACTTCGACCTATTTCGACCTCCAAAGAAGCCAAGCAGCGGTTGATACAGCGAGAGCTTCCTGCGAAGCCTGGTCTCAGCTCACAGAGCGTGGTATATAAGGTTCTCTCGACCTCTCTCGCTCTGCGTTGCGGCGCTCACATGCTTGGCAGATTGAATGGGTTCAGGTAAGGCTCAGAACAATAACCCTCACATCTGCACAAACGGAACCCTATAACAATGCCCGGACCTGAAACCGTACAGCCTGACTCCCATTCCCGGTCCTTGGGTTCGGGGATCGGCATCCCAGCTCTCGCTGCGAGGATGTTCAGCGACTCGTCCTCCATGAAGCCCGAAGGACAAACCTTTAATTGCTCCAAGTACCACATGTGCACATCACTGGTGGTGGCGGCGTTCATGATGGAATGCTAAAAGCGCTGGTGGTTATAGCGATTGTGGACATCATGCACGATGAGGAAGGTGGCATGACATCGAGAATGACAGTGGCGACGGTGCGAGAAAGCTGATGCTGGCGACGGCAATGGTGATGATGATGATGTTGATGATGGTGCTGATGATGGCTGGGTTCGCTACCGTGCTTGCAGTCTGTCTTGGGGAGGATGCTGAGCAGATTGTGCTGTCGGTAAAGATATGGACAGATTCTGAAGGATGACGGATGGTGACAATGCAGATGGCAGTAATCTTGATGTTCGCAAGGATGTTGACGTTCCCTCTGTTCATGACGAACCTTTCGGGGTCTGGTGCTGGTGTGGACGGGTCTCTGGGTGGCATGCGGCTGTTATGATTTCCAATCCGGTGAAGCGTCCCAAACGTGATACGGGTCATTTCCGGTTCAACGGATCTGAGGCTTAGCACGACACGCGGTCTGCCCACGAAAGATTGGCAAAACTCGATTTCTCATGGGCTGCATTGGAGACTTTCTCAACATCGGGGAAGGAGCGAAGATTACGCGTACAGCATGATACCTGTCAAGACATAAAGTGCGGTGAACCAGCATCTGCTTGCAACGTGAGCATGCTGGGTACCGCTTCGCGAGTCTCCCGCAGTTGGGCGAGAGATCTGGGAGGCTTCATTACCCATAGGCCCTAAAGTAGTTCCTTTTGGGGTTCATATATATAGAGTCCTATAAGGTAACCCCCAAAAGGAACTACTATGGGGCCTATGGGTACGCATGGCTCATGGCTAGTCTTCGGAGCTTCAAAGGCGACAGTTCCCATAGCACTTAGCACGTAGTCCCTAAATCCCGACCCATGGGTCTCCGTCACTGCTATCCTTCTACTTCAGGTACCGCTTACAATAAACCCTATAAACCCGACTACCCTACTGTATTCTGTACAGTAACGACCCAGGTGTCCTCCTCAGACAACCACTTTCGAAGCCTCGGTGCTGTTTGCCACCAATCTTGCGGTTCATTCAGTCGAGACAGACTCTTGTGCCCCTGCTGCTCTAGACTTGCTGGCCGTAAGGGATGTCCCGCAGTACTCATATGCGTGGCCATTCCCAAAATCATAGCTCCCAGATCTTGCTATGGTCAAACTATGTCAACTTAAAATTCACTCGAGGCGTTTACCACTGACACTGATTCTGCTCCACCTGCCAAGCCTGCACCCTGAGCTGCTAAGTCGCATGTCCAAGACGGGCTTGTCGATCTGCGTGCCCTGCTCAACCTTGGCTACTTCTAAGGAAAGCAGACACCTGCGTTGAAAGTTTAGGGTTTCGACTCTCACTCTCGGACGCGCCAGGAAAGCGATCACCACAAACAGGTCGCGTACTCTAGTCGAACGAAGCTCAGATCGCTTGCTCAGGGTTTAAAGGTTCGAGGTTCAATGACTCAAGTCCGGTGCCGAGGCAAGAAACTGAGACCGCAAACCCTACACTCGTTCTTTCCACATACCAGCGGCGAACTCCATGACACGCCCCTCACACGGACTCACACGTCTGTTTTGAAACCGTGGGATGCTGGACCGCAACACAAACCCCAATACCTTAAACACGCTACAGGTGAGATGCGGCCATGCGCAGGGCTGCGCGCACCAGACCCTTGTCCTGGCGAGCTCGCTATGTTTACTGGACGCAGGGTGTAGAATCTTTCACGGTAGTAAGTAGCATGTACAAAATACCAACTACGCAAACCCAAGCTCGGCTCAGCACCAAGCTGAGGCAGATTTCCAGGCGCATCACTAGCATCCAAAGGCCGCCGCGTATTCTCTGCTCATAGAACTGAAAATGGCCTGCAGTTGCCTTCTTCGGTGGCAGCTCCCCCGTCACTCTTTTCAGCGAGTTCGAAGCGAGGCCCATCAGGTGATGCGCATTCAGTGATGTAGAATGACAAACACATTACCTGCTTGCAGTGTGCTAATACATATTCCATTATGTGACAATCACTCGTTCACGAGGAGAGGGGGCAGGTGACATCAGGATCCTCCCAACATCTCCCAACAGTAGAAACATCTGAAACATTCAAAGAGCCGTACGAGCTTCAGACGAGGCCGCAATGCTATATAGGATGATTAAGTTCGTCTTATCTAGTAGACATATACATATATATATATATAGTATGATGGCAGCAAATGAAATGAATGCTGCGTGTACGGGGCAACAGTAGGGCTTGCCAGAGGCCCGGGGCTTGAGGGATTCGGTACTCGATCGGACAAGCTACGCTGTGCGGTTCACAAGGCAGTTCTATAGGGCTTTTGGTTTCCTCTTTCGCAAGGGTAAGATGTGGAGGAGCGACCTCCAAGGCTTTCACTCACTCACTCACTCACTCACTCACTCTCTCTCTCTCTCTCTCCCTCTGTCTCTCTGCCGAGCCATCCTAACTATACGGGTCTTGCTCAGCAAGGGCACGACAAGATAGGCGGGGTACGTATACTGTATATTGGTGTTACCTAAAGCTCGATCCAGGGTCTCCTGCTTGGCGACGCCCTCGCGGATGACGACCAAGGGCGGCTGCGCAGGCACTGCAACTGCAGCCTTCGCCTTCGACAGAGATACGAGTACAGGGATAACCAAGGCTCCCCCGTCATTTGGATAATGGGGGCTCAGCAGCAAGAGCTGGAGCAAGAGCAAGACAGGAGAAAGAGCCGGGGCAGGGAGAGCAAAAGCCGGCAGGAGCAAGATCCAAAGCAGTAAGAGCAAGACCAGAGGTAAGAGCAAAATCCCTCAAACGTGACAGTAGAGACTAAAACCCCTCATGGTGAACGCGCTTTTCGGGGGGAAGGGATTAGTTTGGACTCTCACGACTCGGGGCAGGCGAGGCTCCACAGTCCGCGCGTTAGAATCTCCCTTGATCCCTTGGTTGATGGACTGCGACTATGTGGGTGGCTCTCTAAATTAGGGTCCCTTTCAGAGTCCTTTTTCAAGGGTGCCGCCTTCTTCTGATTCTGGGCTTCCCAAAGGGACCCAAATTTAGAACTACCCATGTCTAAAAGTCAGGAAGTTCAGACCTATGGAAAAATCCCCAAGCCATGATCCTACGAAACTTGATTACTGCGAAGGTGCCGTGCTGAAAAGCCTGATCTGATAAGAGTTAAAGGACCCCTAAACGGCCCTAAACCCTAAACCCCTAAATCTACGGTATCCAAAGGTGAAACCTACCAACAGTCGAGCCTCAGGCTCTGTCAAAGCCTCTTAGCCCACCAACCCTAGAAACCCAATGCCTGAAATGCTGCAAAATCCCGTCAAACCCTGCAGTATGCTCTACCCCAAGAGTGTACGTACGATAAGCCCCAAGGCTTGACCCCACAAACCCAAGAACTCTCCAAGCTCCACCACTTTACGAAATTTCGACCAACCGACTCCCGGAGAGTCTGTAAGCCCTCCAGTCCTTCCAGCCAAAACCCTTAGGGTCCATGGGCCCAAATAGTATATACTTTGGCCTTAAAGTAGACCCTATGTAGGTACTTTAAGGCCAATGTATATACTATTTAGGTACATGGACCCTTAGAGCCTTAGGGTAATACAGAAGCCCAAATGATCACCAATATTATTCCTTACGCTCTCACAACCCGGACTAGCCAGGCAAAATCATTATAAACCTGTTATGACATACCACAAATCCCTGGTCTAACTATTAAGGCCCCCTATATTACCCACAAAGCCCGGCCTTTGAGATATGATATTCCCCTACGGGTCCATGTACCCAAATAGTATATACATTGGCCCTAAAGTACCTATATAGGGACTACATTAAGGCCAAAGTATATACTATTTGAGTCCATGGACCCTTAAACCCACACCCTTATGGTACCCTTATGGAATCCCTTAAAGGAACCCTTTTGGGCACATGGGCCCCAAGGGATCCCTGGAATCAGGCCTAGGATGCCTAGGGCTGAGCGTCCGCACCTTGACCACCGGCTCCGGCGCCGACACCGGAGCCCCAGCCTCGAAGATGACATGTTGAAACTATGCTGGTCTTTGGGGTTAGGGTTTAGGGGCCTCAATAAGTACCTGTACTATTTTGGGGGCTCCTTATGATAATTATACCCCAAAACCCTATTCTAACTTTTAAGCCTCCCAACCTTATTCTAAGTAGGGTTTAGGATTTAGGGTAAGGGATTATAACGTTATATACTAGTTACTAGCAGTTAAAGGAGTGAACAGCAGGTGCACCCGGCTTTTCCGGTCTCGTGCCTGCCGCGTCCACCGAACTCATCGCAAATTAATGCAAAGCTCTGTTGCTTCTGAACTTTGTGAAAACGAGTTTCGCTACACATGCGTGCATATTTTTTTCTCATTCTGGCCTTCGTCGCACAGCTTAAAGACTGAATAACTGGAGAACAAACTCATGCACGACGATCATACGACTCTTCTCGGATGCGACCGAAGCTGGAACCGAGCCAACTGCATCCCAATCTTGAGGTTTCTACATCTAGGAGCACAACATAACGCGCCTACCGCAGTGTTCTTCTACGTTTCACTACATCTTAAAATTCTCCAGAATTTTTCAGCGCTGGCATCATATGGCACAAGATGCTTGAAATGCAGCAACAGGATAGCATGCAATGGGAGCAAGCCGTCGGGACTGAACCCTGCAAGCCGAAACCAAATCTTGATTGAAACACCTCCGTAGTGAGCCGAAATCCCGCTCCATGATAATTACGCCGAAGCCTTACATCCAACAGCCTGAAACTCAAAAACATTCAAAAACGTACAGCTCGACAGACTCGATAGGTTCTAAATAGCTGAATACTGCCTTCGCCGGGACGACGGTCGGCGTGGGCGGAGACTTTGACATCACTGAAGAGAAAGTGTCCTTCAGCTTCTCTTGGTTTTCGTGCGTAGCCACTATACTACACGACATACGAAGGCATGCTGGATGGCTCACGGGTACTTTCACGAAGGCCTGGAATTTCAAGGCAGCTCCAGAAATACTTCATGCTGGCCAGCACTTCCACTTGAACTACCAGTGAACCCAAAGCAAGCAATGGCCTGTTAAATGGTTACATTTGGCGATAAAAAAATATGTAACAACATAGTGATGTTCGCATCAACTCCATTGTTGGGAAAGCGCCAAGAACGACTGATCAGATCTATTTTCGATTTGGTCCTTCGTACATGTCTTTGCCTCAAGCCCACTTCGCACGTTTGTCCCATAATCCAAATAAGGACAAGACAAGGACCTGGCAAGAAACAACAAATCGGACTTTGGACTACGGGGCCCAAGCTCCGGGTTTCTCAATCCTCGGCGCCTTAAACACGCGGCGCTCACAACGATTCAGTGATCATCTGTTGACTACTCATAGGCCCTAAAGTAGTTCCTTTTGGGGTTCATATATAGAATCCTGTAAGGTAACCCCCAAAAAGGAACTACAGTACTATGGGGCCTCTGGGTAAACCTGAACACTAGAAACTCTCGCTGCGGTGTTTTGCCTCTGCAGGCTACGCCTTTCGAGCTTCAGGCCTATTGAGATCAACATACCCATAGGCCCCATAGTAGTTCCTTTTGGGGATTACCTTATAGGATTCTATATATGAACCCCCAAAAGGAACTACTTTAGGGCCTATGGGTACAAGGACCGATACAGCTTGAGCCATGAACGAAGTTTCGATAGGGCCCACCTCGCCCAGCCATTGCCGAAGCATGTCCAGGATAGGAGCCTAAGTGGTGGCTGTGTGAGCGAACAGGCGCACGAACATGTAGAATCCATGTGAAGATGTAAAGTTGTGCGCGGTCCTCTAATTTTTGGGCTCACTGACAAGCCATTGACGGACGGCAAACATCCGGTAGCAAGTTCATCCAGGCTACAACCATAAGAGAAAGCGTCGAAAGAACTCCAACAGAGGCCACACAACAACCAAATGGTCGGGATAATTTCATAAACCTAGAACAAAGACGACGACAAGGCCATGGGGCTTCGATGGGAGTGCCCATCTGCGTGGCATACTGAAGCGCTGTCTTCACCGCTGCCTGCGTGTCGCTGTTATCTCACTCTTTGCTTCACGTGCCTGTGCCAATCATGGGTTCATGTTGCGCACTCTTTCTGCCGATTGGTGCAAGCCAAAACTATAACAGCAGCTGGCGAAACCACAAGCCCCGTACGCACCACGCGACAGCCGTCCCATTCCCAAAAAGCCCAAGAAGACTTGTAGAACCTTCGAAAGCCGAGCGTCCTGTCAATTGTGTTCGTGAAACTTTACTCTACATGCACCAACATAAGCACAAGCTAATGTAGGGCCTTAATAATTAGAAAAGGGTTTGGGTATATTATACTATAACTATAATAAGGAACCCCGAAAGTGGCCCTCTCTCTGCCTTGTCCTGGTTCGCCACGCCCTGGCGTATCAGAAGCAGCACATCCTGCTCAGCCAACTGCCAAGGGCGAGCAACACATATTCATATCTACCGCATCGGGGTCTAAGTCAGTGCATACACACATACATACATACATACATACATACATACATACATACATACATACAATACATACAATACATACACTGTATATATAATGGAATATAATATAACATAATACAATATATTATGATATAATATAATATGTATACGAATATATATATATATATATGTATATACACACAGTTAGATACGCATACATGCACACACACACAAACACCGACACACACACACACTCCATATCTACATATGTACATATGTACAGAACAAAACACATCATATCACAATGCCAGTGTTCGAAAGCAAGGGTTGGGTTCAAGCAGACTGTTAGGTAGGTTGGAGCACCAGGAGCATCCAGAGCCAAGCGAACCGGGGACAGCCGTATTGTCTGCCAGATCGAACGGAAGCACGAATCTTCTACTCGTAGGGATATCAGCAAGAACTCCCCCAGAATCTCAAGAGCTCAAACGACCAGGATACCTTACAAAAGGGCCGTTGGATGATGGGAGGCTCTTCATGGTTTCATGGCAGCATTCCGAAGGCCCCCACAAAGAAGAGGCCAAGGCCACCCGAAGATCCGAAAGCCATGCCGCGGCGAAGCGACTCGCGGCCGCGCCGTCGGAGCGACTCGAGGTCCGGGCGCTGGGGAGCCGAAGCGGAAACCACACATTATTTTTTCCCGCCTTCTTCCTCTTCTTCTTGGTAGTACTATGAGTCGCAATCCAGGCCACGCAGGGTGCGAGTACTAGTCTTGGCCTTCTATGCCGGAGGAGTGCCATTGGGACCTCATAGGAATCGGGTCGAAGTCTGGCGCCAGGGACTACCGACGCTCGCCTCCTCGTCGTCGCTCCCCGTCACCAAGGCCCCGGTCGGAGCCTCTGCCGTGCCAAAGACGCCGCAGGCTGAAGGCGATCAGGGTGGAAATCCTTCGTCTCAGCGTGCAGGCGCCGCTCGCCTCGGCGCTCGCCGCCGCCTCGCTCCCCCGCTCGCCGCTCGAGATCGCGATCGCCCAGGTGTGCGAGGCCCTTTTCCACGCTTTTGCTGCCTTGAGGCTCCGATTTTCCTTGGGGGAGGGTCCCCGTAGGTCACCGGCAAGGAAGTCCCCGGTGAAGGCTGCAGCGCTGCACCCAGGGGCCACTGCTGTCTTCAACACTTTCGATTGCTTGATCCACACCACCAAAAGCTTTCTAAAACCCTAAACCCAAAAAAGCTTTCTAAAGCTCTAACAAAAACCGAGGCGCCAGCTGCTGGTGGCACCGGTGGGGGTGCTGGTGGCGAGATGCCGGGAGACATCGGCAAAGCTGGAGTCTCAGCCGCCCCGCGTCTTTCTCTCGTTGATGTGACCACTTGTTGGATTGGATTTTGTTGTGATGCTGATGCTGATGGTGGCGATGACGGTTCTGATGAAGAAGAAGAAGACAATGACGATGACTACGGCGATTATGACAATGATGATACTGATGATGACGATGAGCATGAAGATGAGTTGCTGCTACACCTAGAGTGTTCATTCGTTCGTATCACTATGCTCATGGGTATAGTTAACGCTTTGGGTCTTATGTATTTTGTAAGTGCTGAACAGGCAGCAGGCTCATGCGCCAAGTCATTTCAAGGTATCAAACAGCGTTTACGTATTGGTGCGGTCCTCTATATCATCCATACTGTCTATCTATCATATCTCTCTGTCTATCTATCTATCTATCTATCTATCTATCTATCTATCTATCTATCTATCTACCAACAACCTACCTAGCTATCTATCTATCTATCTATCTATCTATCGATCCATCCATCCATCCATCCATCCATCCATCTATCCATCCATCGATCGATCTATCTATCTATCTATCTATCTATCTCTCTCTCTCTCTGTCTGTCCGTCTATCTGTCTATCCATTTATCTATCCATCTATCTATCCATCTATCGATCTATCTGTCTGTCTGCCTGTCTGTCTGTCTGTCTGTCTGTCTATCTGTCTACCCATCTATCTATCCATCTATCTGCTACGTGTCTGTCTGCTTCTCTCTCTCTCTCTCCATATACTTGTCGTGTATATATGTGCATATCCAGGTGTGCATATGGTTTGCGTCCATGCAAGCATGCATACATTATACATACATGTGTACATGCAAAAAAAAATATATATATATATATATACACACGCATAGCGGGATGCATACACGCATACAGAGGTGCACACGTACTCACACGCATGCATGCACACATACATGCACATACACATACATGTACACATGCACATGCGCATGCACATGTACATGCATATGTACATAACAGAAGTTACAAAATATTTTCGTTTACGCATACCCATGCATCCGTTTCTTCTGTGTGTATATATACACAGACATACACACACATAATTTGCAGGCAGCTGCTTAGTTGTTTGAAAAAGTGATTAAGTTATGTTTAGTATTATGGAGACCGCTTTCGTAAGACGGGCTCAGGGAGGCCTCGGCACTGTCAGGGGACGAGCCATTGGGGCCCTGAGGGACTATGCCTCCGGAACCCTGCTCTCCTTGCCTCTTGGATTCCAACTCGAAAATGCCGAAGTCCCCATCCAAACCCAAACCCAAAGCACCCAAGAAACTTCAAAAGAGCCAAGGCAGAGGTGGTGGCTGGCAAGCCACGACCGAGCACCGGCGAGCAGCCGAGGGCCTCAGGGGAAGCCCAGCCGTGGGGGGAGTTTGCTTAAAAGGTTTTAGAATTTTGGGTTTGGGGTTTCACGTTTTGAGGGAAGTTAAAACAGGTTTTCACAACTACTACTACCACCATACTCTTAGGGTTTAGGGCAGTATCTCTGTCACTTCAGATCGTCGAGGTTATGCGGTACTTTCTCGCATGCCGAATGTTGGCAGTATGTGAAGTACTATCTGTAGTTCTTACCTAGATCTCCGTTCGTATCGGTAATTTGCATATGCAGCCTGTCCCTCTAGGAAGCATCTGAGCTGATGTTCGGAGTGCACGGGGCTGATGGACCCGATTTCCGAAAGTGCGCCCGTCTCTGAATTTCGGACGGCAAGGACGTGGCGGGCAGAGATCATGATGCCTCAAGGCTCGGGTTTGCGTTTGGAGCAGGCGTCGTTGCCGTCGTGGTAGCAGTTGTAGCAACATCATCACCATCTTCCTGGTCAGTACGACAGCTACACATTTGCTCGCTCCGTAGTGGGAACACCCTTGCTGTGCTGTGCGCACGCTCCCTGGCAGTTGGCCTCGGAGACAAGAGCGGCGCTTACAACTACGGCGGCAAGGCCTCCGCGGGGGATCTGAAGTCGGCTTTTCAGGGCTTCTCAAGGTCTGCAGCAAAGCATGGCAACAAGCGCGGCATTCGCAATGAAGATACGAATGCTCGGGCAATGGTGGCAATAGTGCAACACGGCGATCATGTCAAAACTGATGATTATTTGTCTTTGGTAGTTGGGCACGCCCGAGTCTGTCCTGCTGCGCCGCTATCCGATGTCGAGGTGCGGACCATGTGCATCCGTGGACCTCACCGGGTGGACAAGCAGCAGGCGCTGCGAGTCACGCTCGCTTCGGTTTGGGTGTCCTTTAGCGAAAGCAGCGCTTGCAGGACCAGGGAAGTGAATAATCGTGTTTATAAGGCAACCATACGTGTAAGTTTTCGTCGTTCGTTGAGGTACTTGCACTCTAGCTGCAGTGGTCGCTGCCCATGTACAACAGAGCTTTCTCAAGTTCTTATCCCCCTACACACGCTGAATTCATTATCAAATAATGGTTGATGATGATTCTGGGTGTTTGACTTTTGAATTTGAGCTAATACTGGAGTGACTATCGGGCAGTTGAAGGGCCCAAAGTCTTCCGTGTTGTCCCTCCTTCTTGTGAGGCAGATGACGACGCAGTCAAGCTCGAGGAGGCTGCGCGGGATGGCGACACGCGGAAGGTCAAGGCGGGTGGGTTCAGGGTTCAGAAATCAGGGATTGCAGTAGGAGCCTCCGTTACGGTCTCTACACCGGTATTCACCCCTGCATCGATTTAGTAGGACATATGCCAAAGACCTTGTCTAGCTTGTTTTTCCACCAGAGCCCCTCGCCAGAGTCATACTTCTGACGCCCACGTTCCCACAATAAAATCAAGCTATTCAAGGTATGATTATTACAATTATCATTCCGATGAGGTTGCACACCCCGGGTGCTGGGAGCGAATGCCTGCAGCACCTCTTTAAGAGACTCCTGTTCCAGTCGTGTTGTTGTTTCTCGTGTTAACACGACCTACCTGCTTTTGGCACTGTTTGTGTGTTGGCCATGTTTATAAGCACGGCATGCAATGGGATATACACAGACAAATGCATACAGCAACCTTCGTATACATAAATATTTGCAGAATTATTCACTTAAATAAGTAAGTATGTGTTTGTATACATATACCGCTCTGTAAGTATGTAGTTATGTAATTAAACGATTATGCGAATCTTTGATTGTATTATTATGTAACTATGTAATCATGTGCCTATACATTGTACAGGTATGCAATTCTATGCGTATATATGTAAAAAGTTACATAGTCGTATAAACGCGAAATTCAAAAAATGTGTATATATATATATATATATGTATGTATGCATGCATGGATGCCTGGATGTACAGATGTATGTAGTATGTATGTAAGTATGTATGTAAGTATGTAAGTAAGTATGTATGTATGTATGTATGTATGTATGTATGTATGTATGTATGTATGTATGTATGTATGTAGTGTAGCACACTTGTGTG